ATCCATCTATCTATCCATTTGTCCATCTATCCATCTGTCCATCGATCCATCTGACCTGATCTGATCCGAGCTAATCTAATCTAAATCTAATCTAATCTAAACATCTAAATCTAATCTAATCATATATATCATATCTAGGCTGAATCTAATCGAAATCTAAACCGAATCTAATCGAATCTAATCTGTATGTACATATATATATAGAGTATACACACATATATATAGATATACGTATATATCTATCTATACCAACATATATTTATGTTTCTGTATTTATATCTATATCTACATATATATATACTTCTGTATATATGTATCTCCATCTCTCGCTCTCTCTATGTCTATCTCATGTCTACCCGTATCGATATCTGTATCCTTGTCGATGTTTCTCTCTCTCTCTATACATATATATATATATATATGTATCTATTTATACATATCTTCCCACATATATGTCTATTTCGCTATGTATCTTCTATCCTGGCTGTCTATCTATCTACTTATCACCTCTATCTTTTGCCTCTATCTCGATCCCTATCCATCTATTACAAAACAACACAACGTGTGTATATATATATACATATAATCCTCCTTGCAATTTCCTCTACAAAATCGCAACAGTTAAGCTGGGGAAAATGTTGCGTTTTAGGGCCCTCCTTTGTTTAGGGGTACCTACCCAGTGTCAACGTTTGCAATATTATAGAGGACCTTGGCATCAGCGCTTCTATAGAGATTTCATGTTGAATACAGCGCTGAGTACTAGTCAGCTGATAGTCTTGGGGGCTACGATTCTATAGTGGGATATGTTCTCTTTGGATGTATGTCATGTTCTTCAATTCTATAGAAAAGTATTGGCAGAACTAATTTCCCACAACAATTCTTTGATCATCCTTGTATATTTTTTGGAATCTTGACATATTTTTGGAAACTTTTGTCCAGTCTATAAAATCAAAGAGATTGACACTGAACGAGAGCTCTATAAATTTGGGAATGCATGAGGTAAGCTAGGCAAGAGCAACTCGAACATTCAGGTCAGCTGTCAGATGGAGGAGTTGGGGCATCTGATTTTATAGAAGGCCAACTAACCCCCCCAACCTAAAAGAGGCTCTACTCTACGAGAATTACTTGGCGGCAGCTATTCTATAGAAAATGATGCTCATAACCAACCTCAATGGCAGCAATTCTATACAGATTGTCAACTTGAAAATACCTTGGGGTCTCTGATTCTATAGATGCATTTTAAAAAAGGATCAGCATCTCCAGGTTTATCACTATAAAATTGCTGACATCAACACTTTTACTTAATTCAGAAAGGGATTATATATATATATGCACACTATACATATATATATACATACACAGACATATATACATATATATATATAAGGTATGCACATACATGCCCACCCCGGCAGGTTTGGTTTGTCCTTGGCCTCAAAGTATTCCACCTGGATATGCTTGGACGACGGATGGATGGCAATGCTCCTGGGCGGTTCCACCCTGGGGAACTGGTAATAAAGGCCAGCGGGAAGGGTTTAACGGGATTTAATGGGATTTAATGGTATATTACATATATATATATATACACTTGTATTTATAGATATACTGTAATAGGATATATAACCAACCAGAAGCAACCAGATGATATTTGGGTGTCCGCATGTGTCCGCAAACAGGGTTTACCACTAGGTTGGCAGCAAACCGTGGGACTTTGGGGTACGCTGCTTTCAGACCAACAATTTTTTGTACGAGAGACCCAATTTTTTGTTTCAGAAAATCTTGATCGGTTTGGATTTTCCAGGGGGTTGTGCCAACGATGGTCAAACTATTTCTCATTGGTTGCCATATCTAGTGGGGTCTCCAGAAATGTTCCTCGCAGGCAGGTAGTCATGAGATGACTGAAGTCTATTCAAAAATCAGGGCACATTAGCACATGAAGTAAGGATTGATTGGAATATGCGTAGCGCTGAACGACTGACCCAATCCAACACAAAAAGGAGTGGATCAAGGATGAGTACAGCAACGAGAGTCATTGGCAACCTAGACAGTTCTGTGAAAAGACATTGAAACAACATATTCAAAACTGAAGACATGTTGAACACCAAGATTTATAGAGTTGAACATTGCAAATTGAACACCACCACCATCAACAACAACACCAAGGCATACCAAGGCCAAATACAGTCATCCGGGTCATCCGTCTCAAAAATTTCTGACCCGTGCATTGCTGCACACACCCAGGTTCCAATGGCTATCACGGCATGGCAGAGTTGGAATGTCCCATCTCTGCAGATTGCTCTGTGACGTCGCAGCTCAGTGGCTGTTCCTTGGAAGTCAAATGGAGATCCAATAGATGAGGTACCTGAAAGGTTAGCACTGATGTGTTCTCCATATTTTGTCATCTATTTTGTTCATACTTTCTAATTTTTCCATCGTTTTTTTCCTGTGTGTTGGCCTTGAACCTTGTTGATTCCCTTAAAGTCGTGTTGCAATTTCCCGAAAATATCAACGGAATCAACAAATATCCCATATATCATGACATGATCATAGGGATAATCCCCGGCAAATATACCATTTCCTTGGTCCCTGCAAATACACGCCAGTAATCAAACGCGGCAATGGAAAACTCGGAAAATCTGTCATTTATAGTTTATTATTCCATTTTAAAACCTCTATGTCTATTTTAGGGTATTGTCCAATTGCCACGTTTGATTCCCAGAGGGTATTCCATGAATCCAGGTACCGAGCCGCAATCCTGCACGGCGCCCAGCTTTGAGCGTTGCCAACATGTGGAGGTGGCAAAGGAGTGTGCCGACCTGCCACCGTCGCAGGCGTGGAAGAAGGGTGTTTCATCGGATTTAAGCACCAAGAATGGGATTTGAATGGCATGTAAGCAACCGAAATGGGGATATAAGATGATATAAGCAACAAACACTAGGGATTTGACAAATGATGGATTTGGTTTCAGATGGGAATGCATTTTTTCCAGAAAATATAATCAACAGCACGCCAAGGTTCTGAACCATTTTTTGGGGCAACCTATTTTGAGAGAACACCATGTTATGGTGAGATTTGCTGGGATATAGGAGGACTTCATACTGTAGGATCTAATGGGATTGAACAAAGTTCCTACCATTATTATAGCGACCCCCAAAAAGGAATCGAACAGTTGAAAACCTAGAAATTATACGGAAAACATATGGGACAATATCATCTATACCATAACTGCTGTTCGTTTTTCTTTTGGACCCCATACATATAGTAATTATGGGGGTTCAACCATTCTATCTGAAAATAGGGTACCCCAAATCCGTTGGTATAATGACTAACTCCATACAAATTGCCACAGCACTTGTATCATTTTGTTTGTTCTGGTTGGTAAAATGTCCTATCGTTAAAAACTGTAAACATATATCATATATCGTATGTATATATACATGTATATATAAACATATACACACATACATACATACATACATGCATGCATACATACGTACATACATACATACATTACATTACATTACATTACATTAGATTAGATTAGATTAGATTAGATTAGATTACATACATACATACATACATACATACATACATATATATATATATACATATACATATACATATATACATATATACATATATACATATATACATATATACATATATACATATATACATATATACATATATGGTCCCGTGTCCCGTGTTCCCACCCCCCCCCCATGGGAGGGGGGGGTATGATGCCCCTGTGGTGGTGTATATACATACATACATACCTACATACCTACCTACCTACCTACCTACATACCTACGTACATACATACATACCATTACATTACCTTACCTTACATTACCTTACCTTACATTACCTTACATTACCTTACCTTACATTCCATACATACATACATATATACATTAGATACATACATACCATTACATTACATTACCTTACCTTACATTACCTTACCTTACCTTACCTTACATTACCTTACCTTACATTCCATACATACATACATACATACATGCATGCATACATACATACATACATACACAGACATACACACACATACACACATACATACATACATACATTACATTACATTACATTACATTACATTCCATTCCATTCATTCATTCATTCATTCATTCATTCATTCATACATACATACATACATAATACATACATACATTACATTACATTACATTACATTACATTACATTACATTACATTACATTACATTACATACATACATACATACATACATACATACATACATACATACATACATACATACATACCAGCATACATACATACATACCAGCATACATACCAACATAGCAACATACATACCAACATAGCAACATACCAACATACCAACATACCAACATACCAACATACCACCACCACAGGCCACAGGGGGGGGGGACCAGAAGAACCATACCACCACCACAGGCCACAGGGGGGGGGACCAGAAGAACCAGACGATACTGTCCACCCATACCCATTGGTGGGGGGGGGAGGGGGGGTGGCCAACGCTGCACCATATATACATGTATACATATATACATATATACATATATACATATATACATATATACATATATACATATATACATATATACATATATATACATATATATACATATATATACATATATACATATATACATATACATATACATATACATTATATATATACATGTATATATATATATACATAACTTAACTTGACATAACATAACACAACACAACGCAACACAACACAACACAACACAACATAACATAACATATTTGCCCAGTAAATTCCCACCAAAATTACCATAGGAAGTTGGAAAACCACCAATGGGCAGGCATGCAACCTGACCTGTGCACCACCTTTCTTGGGCGAAGCTACGATGGCAGAGTGCCCTTACGAGCCTCGGTTTCAGGGGTTGGGTCCTTTTTCGTGGTAAAGATATGGTTTTCGTGGACTACTTCTCTGCATCCCGAAAAACAACCATGGGCTACAGATACCAGTTTTTAAATCAACAGAAGAAGGTTGACTTCAACCATATTCCATCATATTCCCACATTCCCACCTTCCGTAAAACGTTGGTGAATTTACCAAACTGCCTTTTGTATCACTCCGAAAAAATGCCCCAGCCATGATCAACGGTACCTTAAACCGGTCCCACTGTCCCAGTCCCCCTGTGTCTTTCTTTCTCCTAGAAGGACACCATAAATCGTCATCTTTTATACCAGAACAAATCCATGGAATGTATGTAATTTTATGTATCCATGGATATATTATATAGTATACAATGGAATTTATGTATATAATATGTATATAATATGTATATAATATGTATATAATATGTATCCATAATATACATATATATATATATCATTATATCCAAGTACATATCATGATTCGTGTACCATCTACCATCCCTCAACTAACATGACGACCTCGCCATGAGTTGGGGGTTGGAAACTGGCACCCAGAAATGGGTGATTTTCCCAGAGTCAAACTGTTCGTTGGGCGATGGTATCCCATTAATTATCCTCATGTTTATTCTCCCATGTCATGCAGTATCCTCCTTCAAATCCACATGATATCCCCATAACATGCTTGAATTTATGGCGCACATCCACAAATTTCTGGTGACATCACCATTTCTCCAGCGTATTTCCATGATGATTCCCTGTTGTGAAACCATCACCGGAGCCCCCAGGACAACCCCAATGCCTCGCACACATCGTCCTTCCTGGCACCACGCTGTGTCCATCCCAGCTGTCCTGAAGTGGTGCCGCCAGGTCAGGCAGTAGGAATTTCTGTGCAAAAGCCATGGGTTTTAAGCGAGAAACATGGGGAACATGGGGAAATAACCATGAAAAATGATGGAAAATAGGGATTTAACCAACAAGAATGAGAAGTGATGATGGGGTGAGCATGAGGATTTCAACAACAATAAAATATGAATGGGGATATAACGGGAATGCAAGTGGCATGGGATATTCGTGGAATTTGAACGATCATGTTGGGAATCCCATCCCCCGTTCATATGAGCCACCCAAAAAACATGGTGGATGGAGATCAATATCCAATGATATCCAATGCATATTTAGCACTTTAGTGACTTTAGTGGGATGGGATGAATCGTTATCACATGTTATGACTTATACTGGCTGGTAAGTCAGGAGTTGAGTGGGATGAAATGGTCCAAACAACTTGGAAGTATGAAGTCGCCAAAAAAAGCATCGGGAAATCCCATGGAATGAATTTGAATAAATGGAGGGATAGGAATAGGCACATCATCTGTAGGTATGAATTCCATTGGTTTGATTGGGTGGAACCAGTGGAACCAGTGGAACCAGTGGAACCAGTGGAACCATCACGGCCAGGCTATCAGAAGACCTTGCGGGGCTGGAGTTGCGCCAGAGGCTATGCTGGTGAAGCCTTGCAGAGCTGCACCTCCGACCAGGACGGCAGCTGCGAAAGTGCTGGGAAAGGGGAAGCGGGAAGCGATTTTTTGGGGGGTGATACCCTCTGGTAAATTAACATAGCTATGGAAAATCACCATTTTTAATGGGAAAATCCACTATAAATTGCCATTTTCAATAGCTATGTTAGTTTACCAGAGGGTATCTGTTAAAACTATGATGGTTTACCAATGTCTATCATTATTTGACTCAAAATAACCGTCATTTTTGGGGGGCATCCCTACTTGTGGACAAACACATACGAAGCAATCCGTGAGGTCGCACTCATAGATCATTGGAGTCCAATTAGTCTCGCTTGACCACGATAAATTTGCAGTGCCTGTCAATGTTTTTGACATGACACTAAACGATCTGGCCTTGGAATAACATTACAGAAGGTATACAATTTTTCATCGTTTCTCTATGTATTTTGTTATGATTTTACGAGTCCCGGAGGTTCAGATTTGATTAACGAAAGTTAGAATCTGACTGGACCTCGATACCTTGGGCCAGGATTGTTGCTCGCTCCGTCTGCGATTGGAGGGTTGCAGGCCAATCAGAGGATGCAAGCTACCACAGCTGTCAGAGATGGATGATGCTTGGTTCAACTGGCGACTGTGGCGGACTTCAAACAGTCAAACAGATTGGCTGGGTCAAATTCAACGAGAAAACCATACTTTTTGGATGGTTTAGATACCCTCTGGTAAACTAACATAACTATGGAAAATCACCATTTTTAATGGGAAAATCCACTATTAATGGTGATTTTCAATCGCTATGTTAAATTACCAGAGGGTATTCCTAAACATAGCGACATACAATCCCAGATACACCAGTCACATCACCCATTTGTGGGTCCAAGCTTGACCATGCTTGACCCATACCTGCAGTGTTTTAAACAAATCAGAAGCCAAAGGCAAGAAAATCACATTGCATCAATACAATGTGAGGCCCCCAGGTTATAAGTTCTTTTATGCCATTATGTAACTATACTTGTATCTCCCATAAACCATAGCAGCCATAGCAGCTCTGCCGTTCTTGTGCCACGGGCAATTCAGCGCAAGGAATGCAAGCTGGACCTGTCAGATTGCATCAACATCTCGTCCGGCAAAGAGTGTGAAGTGCCACTTGGCGCTGATGACATTTCTTCAGCTCAAAAAATGGGACACACATGATATATAGAATGGTTGATAATGGTCATTGATGATTAATCATGGTGATTAATGATAAACCTCTGGACCATGAAACATCCCAAGGTTCAATCGGACGATCATCCACAAACGATGGATTTTGCAGCAAGCCATGTGCAATAAAACATAGGTGATGAACGAAAGGCGCAGACCATGTAACTTGGGAATTCAATTTGCAGTAAACTTTACCATCACAGCCGTTCCTTTCCCCTTAACCTTGCCAGTGAAGATCTTGAAGACATAAGTGAACTCCTTCGAGAAACAAGAGAAGAACCTGCCTTTTCCAGTCCCTTTCAATCCTTTTCAAGTCTTACTAGGATAGCCCAGACATGCTCATAGCATCATGATCTTCCCTTTTTCAAAGGATTTGTGGAGGGATGATGACCTGCCACTTTTGCAGCAATCGCATACGAGGCGCTGTCGTGCTCCCTTCTTTGGCGTCCCATCCGTGGCTAGCTGCGTGGCCGACAACACTGATCCAGAGAAAATCTTGGACTGGAGCCTGCCTTTCTGCCAGGACTGGACTGGATAGCCTGGGAGGATGCCCTTGTCCTCCTTTGATGACGATGAAGTTTTTGGCTTACTTTCTTCGAGTGATCTCAACCAACTCACAAAAAATGTCTGACAGTTTTTGACACACATTTGGATATTTTATCTGCCAATATTTCTGACCTATATTCGGGCACTCTATATGACATTTTTCTGGCATTCTTTCCGACATATATTCCGACCGTCTACGTCACATCTATCTGACATATGTTATGGCATTTCATTGACATATATTCTGACATTCGATCAGGCATTCTATCTGACATAAATCCTGTCATCATGTTATCTGACATTCTATGTGACATTTTATCTGGCAGTCTTTCTGGCTGCAAAGCAAGCTGTGACGCGGCAAGCTGTCGAGCGGACAGAGCAAAATCTAAGAGACCCTCGCCTGTCAGTGTGCCTTCGGGGTATTTAAGGTAGCCGTTTTTATGAATTCACCAGCATTTTTAGCCCACAACTGGCTACACATGGGCTAAACTTGGTGAAGTTTACACACTTTTTTTGGAGCAAAAGGTTTGTTGAATCCGAGTATCTGGATGGGATTTAGGTTCGACAGTTTTCCGAAGCTGTTTTGCATACCCAAAATACCCCTTAAAATATCCCAACAAAAAACTGAGTTTTCTAGGTGTTCAATGAACATCTGATGTTTCATCCCAGGGTCCCAGTTCGCCAACTGGCTTGATGCATCCAATGACTGGTAGCTGGATGGTTTTTTTTGGTAGATTTTGAATCCAAGAACTTCTGATCATGAATCACATTTTCGGTAAAATCATGTAAAATCCCAAGTGTTGATTAGTGAATCCAGCTGGATGGAATCACTCATGATCCCAGTTCTCTAAATTTCTAGAAGAGCAATCCTTTTGAATCAGAGATATAGATAATCAATGATAATCAGATATTGATACATATACATATATAAACATCCCATCTCCCCAGCCATTCAGAATTCATCATTCTTCTCCCGAAGCGTCTGCAAAACCGCCAGATCTTGCGCTGTGACCGACCCATGCCGCCACCGCCGGGCTACATCTACAATGGCTTGGCAGAGCTCTGCGCACCAGGCAGGATGGGCGGAACGCAGCCTTGCAAGGGAGATAGGATATCATATCATATATAGATATATGTAGAGTATGCGTGTGTGTGTGTGTAATGTTGTCTGACCAATAGTGATATCTTGTCAATAGTAGAAACATTTTTCCGCAACTCCAATTTTTCTCCAATACTTCATGTTCAGACCTTGTCCGGAGGGCATGACCAATAGTAGACCCAACATGGCAATAGTGGAAACTTTTTTCCCAACTCTAGTTTTTTCTCCAATACTAAAAGTCAATTAGCTCCATTTACTTTTAGTATTGCCAAAAGAGTCAAGTAAAGCAAATCCTTTTCAAAGCAGCCTTCACTTTTGATTAGCAAAAACTTAGATTCCAGAAATCTGATCCAATAACAAACCTGCACCAGGCATGGCAATAGTGGAAACTTTTTTCCGCAACTCCAATTTTGTTGTCCTCCTTCTCCTTCTCCTTCTTCTCCTTCTTCTTCTCCTCCTCCTCGTCCTCCTCCATCGCCTCCACCACCTCTGCCCCCACTTCCATGTCCACTTCCGCCTTGCCAACTCGTCGCCAATCTCTCAGAAACCCAACCAAATCCATTCAGAATCTATCAGAAACCCAACAAAACCATGCAGAATCTATCAGATACATATCATGATCCCAGCTATAGATTCCCAAAAATTATTATAGGAAGGTTGACCCCCCCCTTAAAAAAAAAAATACATAAAAAAAATAGGGGGGGTAATTACTATTAGGCAGCCAACATTATGATATATGTATATATGGATTATCACACTATATCGTTATACACATCTATTTTTGTTACACATATGTATGTATATATATATATATACACACCTTTCTTACCCTTATTATGAGTATACCTAGTCAACAATTTTCAACAAAGAATTTTGGAGATGGGTCTGTCTGACGATAGATGGGTATAACCATGTACAACCCCAAGTTGCCATTTTAAGAGGAAAATGATTGTTCACATTGGTTATCCGATTAACCATTAATTTGAGGGGTGCACCATTTTTTAACCATCCATCCCCAATTTGTGTATATTATATATATACTTGTATACATTGTAACATAATCACAATAGTGACAATCAGAACAACATCCTGTCAGTGATACTGTCATAAATGATGACAACAATGACAATGACAACAACACACTGTGATGGCAAGAAACGACAATGTATGGATTTACACACATTATATTAAATCATATCATGGTAAATTGTTCACTACTAACAGTATGCATCTATACATTGCATATTATGACACGTATAAGTAGATAAATATAGATATAGATATAATAGACATAAGCACAAAGTAAATAAATCAACATATAGATATAGATATAACTATCTGGTTGGTGGTTTGGAACATTTTTTATTTATTTTCCATTTCATATATGGGTTGTCATCCTTCCCATTGACCAACCGTTCGCATCCGCAGGTTACGCTGGCAGTGCCATGGGGACCTGTCGCGGTGGGCGCTCGGAGAACGATTGTGTGGCACCACCCATGGCACCTCGGAAGCAATGACTGGGGGGTTATTAACGAATGGAAAATCACCTTGTTCCCATTAAAAATGGTGATTTTCCCATTAAAAAATGTGATTTAAACCAACATAGCTATGGAAAATCACCTTGTTTAATAGTAGGTAAATCAACTATAAATGGCCATGTTCAATAGTTTTTTGTATGTTTACCAGAGTGTAGTTCACAATAGGATGATGTTCTTAATGGGTATACCGAGGGAACATCATCCCATTTCATTTCTAGGGGACCATGGTATACCCAATAGTAAGCCACAAGTAGGCATGTTTTTTTTTGGCATTGAGCGAATCCCACATTCATGTGGATGTAGTGGGGATTGTGGAGATGTTTTCCAACCCCCCCTCATGGCCAGGTCGTCATGTTAGTTGGAAGATTTAAACCACAATTTCTAGTTGGATTCCTCCCACTTTGGAGGGTAGAGTTGTGATATCTTGTGGTGCTCCCCAATTTAGCATTTCTTTCATCTTTTGACCATTCGAAGAATTGGTTTATATACATGAACCTGAAAACTGTCAAAACACACACGTTTGGATGGTTGAAAAGCCACTTTTTGCTGTAGATGTTTTTCCCCTGAAATCAAATCAATCATCTCCGATATCAGGAACTTACAGGCTGCCAAGCAGTGGTGCCTTGTCGGGGTCCTCAGGTTTTCCAAGAGCAGATGGCCAAACTCAAGGTTTGTCTGAACACGGGGTGCCACCGATTGCAAAGACCGTTAAAATGTTAAAACCACTTATTTTTTTCAATGTTTTTGAACAACATATTTGTTCTTTTAATATTTTCGAACAAAGCCAGGTGTTTTTCCAGTGAGTCGTCGAACAGGTCATCCATGGAATCCTGACCCTTTTTGGTCTTAGCTGTTAGCTATAGCATGCTAGCTATAGCAATGCTGGGAATGCTGAAGCTTCCCCAGGCTTGCCTTCAATTTCAAGCTGGAAAAAGACTTGTGTGTCAAAAGCATGTTGAAATCGAAAGCAGCAAAAGAGTAGACCATAGTAGACCATAGTAGACCATCATTGAAGAAACCAGATGCAGGAGAGGAAAACATTCGATAAATGTCCTCGACCTCGCACTCACGTAGTTTTTTTGAATTTTGGGAGCAAACTTCCATCCAAGAGCTGCAAAACAAAATCGCAAAATGGCAACTCCGCGACCGCTGCTCGCTTTGCTGCTGTGCGCTGTGGCATACACCACAGTGGAGCAATGCTTTTCAAGAAACTTGGAAAGGTGGTGCATGGTAGTGAAATTGTGGAACGTCCCCCTCCCAGAAACCCCTGAAGGTGTTAAGTTGAAAAGTTTGGTGGTGTAAAACGTACTAAAACGTACATACTTTCGTCTCAAACCACCCTCATATGGTACTGTACAGTAAGAAATGGGGTTGTCTCGATTTATGGTAAACAAAGGGAGTTGGGGTTTCCAAATTCTGAGACAACCCTAAATATTGGGGAAATGATCGCGCATTCGGAAATGCCCATGATGGACGTATTGCTATGGCCATGGATCAGTTCACCTTGGGGCGCTGAGCTCACATTTGGGGCGCTGTAACTCAGTCCATACATGTCCTTTTCCCATTGGTTGATTAATAGAGGGTTTTGTTTGCCCCTTTGACAACAGGTAAATGATGATTCATGGTATACCAAACCGGCCCCTCTATTTTTGCCAAAAGGACATTATTGGCTGTAACATCGGTTTGACCCGGAACTTTTGGGCCATTGATTGTTGGAGACAAGTCTGGGGCCTGTGCAGTGTGAGTCAGGAATTGCCAGCAGACTACCCGAGAGTGAAACGACGGAGGCACTGAGTCATGGATGAGGATGGTTCAAACAATATTTGTTGCCGCACATTTTGGAACGTTCAGCCCAAAGATGACAACGATGGATTCAATCAAGAAATTTAGATGATATGGCCGACAAGAGATGATATCATCACTAAATTGGATGGTTTTCACAGTTCAAACTGACCAGCTGTTTAAGCAGGTCGATTTTAGCCAGTCATTTGGAGTCCAGTGGCCACAAGAAGGATGACAACCAACTGTTCGTTCCTGGCGTGCGGCAACGTTGGCAACCATCACCAACAGACACCTTCAACTATCACCAAATCTTTAGCAACATGTCGCGCACTCGCAAGTGCACACTTTGCGCATTTATTTCATTTAAATCTACCTCTCCTGTTTTGGGAAAACACGTCATTGTTCCATTCTATATTTCTCTTTGTTCTCTTCTATTTCTAATTCTGTGTACTTTTGCAATGGATATCAATCATTTGTTTCATTTTGCATACTTGGATCTGAATGCCAGTTAGTAAAAGGGTACTGACCACAATTATATAATCTTCTTGATACCCAGTGTTATACGGCGTATCCACAGTTATACACGGGTCATTGTCTGGAATACCCACATATATTACTATGTTGTCCAGTATGAATACTGTACACAATATTATTGATAGAGAGAGTTGGTAACAGTCACTTACCACAGGTGAAACCAGGATGCTCCAAGGAGAAATCTACGCTACGTATACCTTTGGGTAATAGTCACCTAACTAGTCAACTGTTTAATGATCCGCCGCTACCTTGCATAATCCAGTCAACTATAGATTATGAAATAGAGGATCAAATATTAGTTCCTTTAAGCATGTTTCATAATCTACTATGATAATAGCGGTTACAGCAATTGTCAATAATAGTGGTGAGCTGTTTATATATAATATAATATAATATGATATAATATAATATAATATAATAAAATAAAATATAATAACATATAATATAATAAAATATAATATAACATAATATAATATGATATAACATAATATAATATAATATATTATAATATAATATAATACAATATGATATAACATAATATAATATAATATATTATAATATAATATAATATAATATATATATATATATTTATAAATAATATAATATATATATAATATATAATATATATAATATATAATATATATAATATATATAATATATATATATATGTAATATATAATACAATATAATATAATATAATATAATTTAATATAATATAATATAATGTAATATAATATAATATAATATAATATAATATATATATAATATAATATATATATATAATATAATATATATATAATACAATAAATATATATATATACAATATATATATTCTTCGTTAATCCATGGATGATAGTCTCCTATGAATATGTTCTTATGGCTTAGCTATAGCTACCCTCTGGTACTCAAACGTGGCCAAGCCCCCAAGCTAAGGTTTATAGCTGGGACACTCCTCTATAAATGGTGGATTTTCCAGCAAGCCACGTTGGATTACAGGAGGCTATTAGCTGTGTCCAGGTAGAAAGCTCCCCTGCGGCGGCCGCCTGGCTCCGCGCGGCGCGGCGCACAGCTGAAGGTGACAACGGTGACAACGGTGACAACGGTGACAACGGTGACAACCCAATGGACACTGCGTTTTCCCAACGGACAGATATTTAGGAATTTGGGCACATTCATTGGATTGGTTTGAGGGAAAATCCTCAGGAAACCATGGTTTTTTACCGTTAAATATGGGGTTATCCTGTAAATTTCCCCTTAAACCAATCCAATGAAACACACTATGGGGGTTCCATCAATGGGGATACCCCAAGCTCGCTGGTTTATTTCATGGAAAATCCTAATCTAAAATGGATGATGACGTGGGGTAGCCCTATTTCCAGACAACCTCCTAATATCAGTAATGTGGGAAACCCGATGCCATAAACCGACAAACATGGTGATTTTGGGGACGGTTTATTATTGGGTTTACCACAGTAGGAGAAATATCTAGACATGTACAAATATCGAGGTGTCCAGAAATAGCATGAACAACATATCTAATGTTCTAAATATGTTGGATTCCAAATATCGACTAGTGTCAATTACATGTAGGGTACCTGTAACTGCCAAAAACATGTGCCATGGTCAAAACTTGAGTAGCCTGCTCAGTGGGGGATGGTCATCAAGCCGTTTTTACATTTGGTTTCCCATGATGGGATGGCATGCATACCGTACCCCATATATATATATATATATACAGTATATATATATATGATATTTTGACCATGGCACAGATCAGAACCTATAAATACCATATTTGGCGGGGGAAACTGGCATTCCCTAGTCCACAACAAACTTGAAACTTGGCTACTGTTACTTGAACTTGCAAGTATTGGTGTAAGAGAGTGCAAGCATTGCCCACAGGCCTTTTTTCCACAAAGTTCTAGTACTCTGAGCTCATGGTCGATACTAAACATCCCCAGAATTGGTTTCTTATTCACATCCCAACCTGACAACTATTCTGGCAACTTTTTGGGGATGGGGGATGTGAAGCACAACGTACCAGGCCTTTGACACATTCCCATATTTGGGTAAAGCTTGGTTGTGTAGCTTAGTGATTGAGTTTGTGGGAGAAATGAGGACATATTTGATAGCAATCAAATACGTACATACATATGAATTGCAGGTATCTAAGATTAGCCATGCACATGTGTATAAGATTATACATGTAATTGCATCCAAACACTAGACCCGTCACACTTTCAAAAACCCAGTTGGTCGATTGTTATCCTTATCCATGAACTAGGAATCACCTTTCCCGAGAGGCTTTCAACAATGCGCATCCAAGATTGGCCATGCATCTAACAGATCTAAGACATGTTCCCATCCAAGATTCGCGAAGATTAGTCACGGTGGGGGTTTTCCAATATATGATTTTCAATTGTTGCTCTTTTATGCCAAGTTTAATATCCCCGTAAAGGTTGGCTAAATACCATTGAATCACCATGATTCTTCCATTGCCTGACGGTAACCAGACACTGCAATTGAAAGTCACCCATCACCCATTTAGTTCAATGTCTTTCCCATCTATAAACCTCCACTTAGTTCCGGGATTTTTCAGCCAGCCAAGTTTGATTCCCAAAGAATAGCATCCACATACATCATTGGTTCTATACCCATCACACCACATTCTATTCTATCCCAATTTAAATGGTGAAGTCTCTGTTGAAACAACATACTAACATTGGTTACATACCCATCATATTGCTTATACCCATCATAATTTGCTGATCTTAATGGTTGATTTCGCCACTCAACAAGATATCAACATGGTTTCCTCCATATATCATTGGTTATATTGCCACTATGCCACTATGCCCATCATATCCCCATGGAAATCCATATATTTAAATGATCTTAAATGGCTAGATGTCCATTTCATAACATATTAACATATATTAACATGGCTTATCTGCCCATCTCCCCATGATATGCCCATTTCGCCAGGCAAGAAGGACAGTGGGGCTCACTGGGCTGCTGCCTGGGAATCCACCGAGGTGAGGGAATCCACTTGGCGAGTTATGATATTCATACGGGGATGGGTCAAAACCCTGGTACCGTGCCGTGAACCCCAAGTCATAGCTGGGATTTATGGATGTTCATCCCATATATATATATATAATATTAATACACACATATATATATATATAGATATATTGTTATATGTATGGTTATACATCTATAATTTTATGTAAATGTAAATGTATAATATTATAATATATATATATATGGCTATGGATCAATACCTATATAGATACCATTTTTAGGGGAATGACCATCCATAAATCCCAGCTATTTTGGTGTGAACTACAGGGGTACAAGGTTTTGACACACTGCCATATATATATAATATTAATATACACACACACATATAGATATATTGTTATATGTATGGTTATACATCTATAATTTTATGTAAATGTAAATGTATAATATTATAATATATATGGCTATGGATCAATACCTATATAGATACCATTTTTAGGGGAATGACCATCCATAAATCCCAGCTATTTTGATGTGAACTACAGGGGTACAAGGTTTTGACACACTGCCATATATATAATATTAATATACACACATATAGATATATTGTTATATGTATTGTTATACATCTATAATTTTTATGTAAATGTAAATGTATAATATTATAATATATATGGCTATGGATCAATACCTATATAGATACCATTTTTAGGGGAATGACCATCCATAAATCCCAGCTATTTTGATGTGAACTACAGGGGTACAAGGTTTTGACACACTGCCATATGTATATAATATTAATATACACACACATATAGATATATTGTTATATGTATGGTTATACATCTATAATTTTATGTAAATGTAAATGTATAATATTATAATATATATGGCTATGGATCAATACCTATATAGATACCATTTTTAGGGGAATGACCATCCATAAATCCCAGCTATTTTGATGTGAACTACAGGGGTACAAGGTTTTGACACACTGCCATATATATATATAATATTAATATACACACACATATAGATATATTGTTATATGTATTGTTATACATCTATAATTTTTATGTAAATGTAAATGTATAATATTATAATATATATATGGCTATGGATCAATACCTATATAGATACCATTTTTAGGGGAATGACCATCCATAAATCCCAGCTATTTTGATGTGAACTACAGGGGTACAAGGTTTTGACACACTGCCATATATATAATATTAATATACACACACACATATAGATATATTGTTATATGTATGGTTATACATCTATAATTTTATGTAAATGTAAATGTATAATATTATAATATATATGGCTATGGATCAATACCTATATAGACACCATTTTTAGGGGAATGACCATCCATAAATCCCAGCTATTTTGATGTGAACTACAGGGGTACAAGGTTTTGACACACTGCCATATACATATAATATTCATATAGACACACATATAGATATATTGTTATATGTATTGTTATACATCTATAATTTTATGTAAATGTAAATGTAAATGTATATATAATATTATAATATATATATATATGTATTTGAGAGTTTCCCATTTTTGTGGGATTTCAGCAAGCATTTTTTTTGGATATGTCATTGCGATATTGGGCAATTTCCATCGGGGATTTTCTCATGGTCCAAGCCATTGGGCATGGTGCAACCAACTGCGCATAAAGATCATAAAGAGCTACCCTCTGGTAAACTAACATAACTATGGAAAATCACCATTTTTAACGGAAAAACTCAAGATAAATCACCATTTTTAGTAGCTATGTTCAATTACCAGAGGGTAGCTGCTAATATCTGTCATGTTATTCTATTTTTGGGATATAACCAATGGGATATAGCAGATATTGACCAATGGGATATAACCAACAATGATGGGTGACTTGTTACCATCAAAACACGGTATATAAGTTGACAACAAGGCGGTTCTTATTGTAGGGATCAACTGAGATTATACTGGGACTAACCATTCACCATGAAAAATGGGATAACATGGGTATTTATCCATGAAAACTGGGATAAAATTGGCACTTATATAAGCATGAAACATAATGAAGAAACATGGGGAATGAAACATATTTTAAAGCTATGATTTGGGTGGATTTGGGTGCGTCTGAAAATTGCAATACCTTGAACATGACATAAGATATTCGTTTTGATGGCGAAAGTGATGGTACCACATCCAGTACTGGATTTTGGGGGCGCCACATTTTCAGACAAAGCCATATACCAAAATCATATCTGCATTCTTAGTTGAAATTTCTTGATGAGATATACCAAATCATCTCAAAGTTCTGGTGGTGAATGCGGGCGAATATCCATGGCCCCCGGGTTGCGGGTGTCGACATCTCTGTCGTGCTGAGATGATCGTATCTCAATGTAGAAGGTTATACTAGCTCAATCCGACATATATATATTTTTTTTAAATAATATATGTAACAATGAGGTATAACCAACGATCATGAAAAGCACGCTTATAGAATAAGTCAACCATAATTATGATGTTAGTTATTGGAATAGAATGGAATATGTTCAACCAATCATATATATATATATGTATAGATTGCCTGCTTTTTCTTTTTTTCGCACAGTCATGGTCACCACATTCAAGCCCCAAGTTTGTGCCAAGAAAGGCATGGTGGCTGCGGCCCGTGGCCTTCTCTGCAACTCGGCTGGTTTGTTTCAGAGTGGCCATGGCATTGATTTGGGTGGTCACAATGGATAACCCCAATGATTGGATGGTTACCCTCTGGTAAATTAACATAGACCCTGGCAGATAGGGGTTGGAAGACTAGTTTCAATTAAAAATTGGTGATTTTCAGGGTCTATGTTAATTTACTGGAGGGTAATACTGAAACTAGACCAGGCCATTGTGGTCACCGACTGGTCTTCAATTTTGACCAATGCAGAAATATAGCCCTGACCCTGTTTTTGCGAAACTTGATGTCAACGGCCTACAGTTTTGGATGTTCAAACTACCATGGGTTTCCTCTAGATTCACAGATTGTTCTCTGGAAGATCTTCCCAATGCACACCAGCCATCAATAGATTGGTTTCAGGGAAGGTCTTGTCAAACCAATGGATGTTTTCCATTCACCTCCTGTATAAGATATTCCTGCAAAATCTTCCTTAGAAGCAATCTCTAGCAAAAATCAGGCTCAAAATGCACCAGAATAATAATGTCATAATCTTCGAACATACCTGTTCTTAAACACCGAAACAACTCTAAAAACACATCTGTTGAATATGTGTTTCTTTAAATACTCATGGAGATTCAACCAACCCCCAAGGGTCAGTGACCCCTGTCTTTATTGATTGTTAAGATTCACCTTATTATAATTATTGGGATGGTCACCTGACTGGTGGGTTGGTCGCTCATTCCCTTGAAACACCAAAGCTGATTAATCGGAATCACATTTTAACAAGACTTCCCGGAGAACAGCGAACCAGCCAACGAATCAACGAACCAACCAACGAACCACCAACCAACCAACCCAGCCACCACCCACACACCGCAACATGATTGCCAGCCTTGTTTGCCATGCCAGCCCCCTCTACACAGCCACTCTTTAGTGAGCTTGCCAGCTTTTTGGGGCGCGCCGGACCCGAACCGTATGGCGAGCCGGACAGCTCTCCGGGGCGCGCTGGACCCAAACAATGACAGATAAGTGGTCAGATAGAATGTTCGAATGAATGTCAGATATACCGATTGGAATGTCAGATTGAGTGTAAGATAGAATTTCAGAACATATGTCAGACGGTCACTTTTTGTCTCAATGGGGACAATTCTGGAACAGGCCAACGGTTGAGATGAAGCTATTCAGGCGGTAACTCAGGCCTTTCCTGCCTTTGCACCAATGGAGTTCCCTCCGCTCTGCACTGATGATTGGAAACGTGCATTGACGCTTCAAGAAAACGAACCATGAGAGGTGCAGATGGTTGGTCCGTGCAAGAGCTTTTAGTCGCTCTCCCAATTATTGCTTCGTATTTTCCAAGCCGCTGAACGGTCCAGGAGGCCGGAACAACTTTCGACTTGGGTGCTTGTGCTGCTCAGGAAGACAGGCAACGCGTGCCCGGGTTGGCCAATGATTCCGCCCATCACCATGGCTGGTATCTCGCGCAGGATTTGGAGTCGCGTGTGTGCGGCGCAACTCATGCAACATTCTAAGGCCATTTCCAAACCGTTGGTTTCACCGTGTTTGAGTACCAGGGCGATTGGATCTTCCTGGGCGGCATCATTTCACAGAAAGTGGCCGCCAAAAACGCTCTGGCGGGCCTCGTGTTAGATACCCCCACATGTTTCAACATTTTAGACAGGCGCTTGCTGCGGGCTTTGATTCTCCACTTTGGATTCCTTGTCATTATCGTTGATGCTTGGATGGCAATGCTCAGCTTACCAGGACTGTTTTGGTGGAAGGAGCTGTGTATGGGAATGCACATTCTGCCAGAGGGATCCCCGAGGGTGACACCCCCTGAGCGCTGTGGGCATTTTGAATGCCCTGCACGTGGATTCTTCGGATGGAAAAATTCAATGCCCGACTGTTGATGCGGTGTTGTGTGAAAACTGCGCTATAGCTGAAAGTTGTCTGCTTGAGGTATCTTGGGGTATGAAAAGCACACGTGATGTTGGAGTGGATATTTCAGATTTACTTTGTCCAAAGCTCTTTGTTTACATGTGCTGCGATGCAACCCATGCTCCATGCTGTCAGGCGTGGCTGTTCGAGGTAGTATTTGGCATGCTGCACATGCATTGGCGCATGAATAAAGTGTCCTATCGAGCCTGTGGAGAAAGAATCAGGTTGACTACTATGAGGAGCCACGGGACTCCGGATACTTTTTTTTTTCAGACCCCTAAACGAGCACATGTTTTGAAATCGGGCAGAAAAAGAATGGTAATTACACATTTTTGTGTCCCAATGGGAGGTTCAGGTATACCTCAGCTAGAATGTAAGAATATAAGAATATGTCTGTCGGGACATTTGCCACAGCGGGGATCGCACCACGTAAAGTAACTTGGTAAACTCACCAATACCGCATAATTATTGTTGGTGCACCATGGTGCACCATGATATTCCCATCACACCCTCGTGACTCCTGGACCCAAATCCAAACACTATCCCATAAACCAACCATGATATTGGATCGTTTTACAGCATCCCAGTGATAGGGGTTTACCAATTTCACAGCATTCTATTGGAGATGGTTCCTATTGCCATAATGATCCAATAATTATTCCACAGCCACCCCCTAACTATTCCAATGTCATAAGGCCCAATAATTAATTGGGTTTACGGTGGTAAACCCAACAGTAATCCTACCATTTGGGCATGGCTGGAATCCCACCCATAGAAAATCAGAAAGGGACGCTCTCAGTCCCCACGTTTCTCAGTCCCCACGTTTCTCAGTTCCCACGTTTCCACATGTCTGGACAGACGACGTGACAGATTACATATGAATCTTTGTTAGGAAAAATGTTACGTCTACGGAATTCATGCTTATGAATCTGTAGTGTCACTAACAAGCAGACTTGAGGAACACCTGACTCTGATTATATTTCTAATTCACAGGAAAGAAAGAGCCACACAGAAAACAAACGAAAAAAAAAAAAAAAAAATTGGGCTGACCCCCCCCTTTACCTCTCCCAAGACGGCCTATAGAGCAAACCCAGATATATTTTTTCTTGTCGTGGAGCTTCTTACATTTGTGTTCTGTTCTTGTTCTTGTTTCTTGCTATTTTTCTTGTTTCTGTGGATATCTCATATGCTTACCTGATGCGTCCTGATAATTTGCTTTGAAGAGTGTTTGCAAACGCAACGGACAGGCGTATAAACTAACAAGGTAGACATACCATAGAAATCCCATAAGAACCCAGTGGAAATCATATAAGAATAACATATGAGACTGTAGCAGATAACATGGCCCAGAGAGCCACCTAGAGCCACCATAGCCCAGCTAGGGGAGGGGAGGAATCATCTGAAAATATCATAGATATAACATAGAATTAGTATAGGTACCACAAAGAAATCCCATAAGAATATCATAGATTTCCCTCAGACATCTCATAGGAATTCCATAGAAATATCATAGACATACCATAGAAATCCCATAAGAACCCCCATAAGAATACCATACGAGGCTGTAGCAGGCAAGATGGCCCAGAGAGCCACCTAAAGCCACCAAGATAGCCCATCTAGGGAGACACTGTCCTGTCTCCTATTCTGTTTGATTGGTCTCTGCCCCATAGTAAGCAGACTGGGATCCCCTCCATTGCTTCGATATCCCATGGCCTTGACAAGAAAACAAAAGGAGAACAGGTATAAAGGGAACACGAAGAATAAGATGATAAAAAATCTGGATGGCTCTCTGGGCTATCTTGCCTCAAGCAATGTCATCTGTCTCTAGGTGCCTCTCTGGGCTATTTTGTCTATTACAATGTTGTCTGTCTCCAGATAACTCTCTGGGCTATCATGTTTGCTGCACACTCGTCTGTACCTTGGAGGCTCTTTAAGCCATTGAGTCTTCAGCCTCATCCTTGTCCGTTACACGTGCATCTGTCTCTTGGCAACTCTCTAGGGTATCTTGTCTGCTAGAAAAGTCATTTGTCTCTAGTTGGCTCCCTGGGCCATCATGCATGCAATCATACTTGAATGTTCAACCAAATAAGGATCACGATCCATATTCTGCAAAAGGTCAAAAAAAATTAAATAACAATATCTATAAAACGCCAATAAATAGAATTATATTCACGATACTTCTAATCTGTAGTTCAGCTGCAACAAATTCCGGATCGCTTGTCACACTGCCTTGGTCCTCTTTTTCTTGGCCTTTGTTTCATCAGGTGGCTTGCAGCTGGTGTTCAGCTCATCTTTCTTTTCGTGATCTTCCTTTCAAGACTCCTGCAACCATATCATATTTGATTCTCTAAGGCACTGTCATATCTCCACTTCTATCGCACTGGCCTCCACTCTATCGACTAGCATTCTCTATATTGCTCTGCCATCCCATTGCAGTGACATACCATTGGCTTTGAGATCCCTTTCCTTTGACACTCCTTTGCTTTGGCATCCCCAATATGTAGCATAGATTTTGTTTCGTCATTATTTGAATTCAAATGCGATTTAGGGTATGTGCCGCAGTATATAATTTTAATAAAAATGTTCATATTATGTCTTAACTTGATGAACTTAGAATAAACTTTGTCATATCTAGAACCATACTTAATCAGTAAGAATTTATTTGAAGAAATAAAATAAATGCATTAAAAATAACAAAAAACAGCTAAAAATGACGTAAAAACTGGGGACCCACAACGTCCCGCACTCTAGAAAATGGGGATGGTTTGTGGCAGCCAGGGTGAATCCCACACTAATAACATTTAATAACCCTTAATGTTAGCTATTTAGCCACTATGAACGACAATCTTACAAGTACTAGCCATCATTATTTTTTAAATCTCATCATTGTCCCAGTTGAGGGATTATCCCCGACTCATATATCTATAGCACAATATAAGATAACCCATAACCATATCCCATAATCATATATGATAACCATATAGAACATAAACACCATTAATTATGGATAGATCTACATTAAAACCTGTTTGCTCAGAGGTTTCTGCGCTCTTCACCTTGGTGGCCATACTCCAGCAGTTGCCCGGCGCCTATCTGCGCGCCGTGCTCAGCAAGCGCGTCCGGGGCGAGGCCGCCGAGGGGCCCGAGGTGGCGGTGCCAGTGTTCCAGGCAGGGGAGGAGGGGGATGAGGTGTGTGGGAACTGTAGAACCAGCCATTTTATGGGCAGTACGGATATATTTTTTGGGCATTAAGGATTATAGTCTCTTGTGAATCTGTTCTTATGGATTAGCTACACCTAGCATCTGCTAATCAAACGTGGCTAGCTGGAAACCCCCATAGAAATGGCGGCTTCAATGGGAGAATCATCTGGAAATGGTGAATTTTCCATTGCCACGTTTGATTGCCAGAAGGTATACACATGTGTAGATTACCATATGTATATGTATACATACGTATATTTATTGTATAGATATGTTCATTTGAGTGGGATCTCATGGAAAGCATAAACACCCCGTCAGGGGGAAAACCGCGCCAGCGGTTGTGAGCGTTTTGAAAAAAATGTCGTTTTGGCCTTAGCGAAACTATTGATTCATTCTCCAAAATAGGCTTAAATTCCCTGGGAATTTGAAGTGTTTTTTTGATGATGACCTGTAATTTACAGGGAATTTTCTCTTGAAAAGGTGCGCGGTGTTTTTTTCCCCTCTCACATCGCCATGCGGTTCTTCAAGGAGCGACCAGTGACCTCCAAAAGGCTTTTGGTTTTGGAGTTCATCCTCCAAAAGTCTTGTAACTAAGCCGCAGAATGTTTTTTCCGCAAGAATGACAACAGCTTCTGTCCTAGACTTTCACACGGGGAAGCATTATGTCCACGCCGACCACAGTGAGTGCACAACGGCTCAGCTTTGGATCCCCTTTTGACATCTTTTGACAATCCTTTTGATCACTGACAGCTTGCCTCCATTTTTGGAGGCCCAACCCAGTGACGTGACATAGCATGTGCATGTGACGCAAGTTAGCATGAACGTTAACATCCCCCCAACCCAGTGACGTGACGTAGCATGTGCATGTGATGCAAGTTAACATGAACGTTAACGTCCCCCGCGACCCAGTGACGTGACGTAACATGTGCATGTGATGCAAGTCAACATGAACGTTAACATCCCCCCGACCCAGTGACGTGACGTAGCATGTGCATGCGGCGCAAGTTAACATGAACGTTCACATCCCCCCAACCCAGTGACGTGATGCAGCATGTGCATGTGACGCAAGTTAACATGAACGTTATTACCCCCGCCTCCCGGACCCTTCAAAAATGAGTGTTTTCAAAAACGTGCACGACTAGTGGCGCGGTTTTCCCCCCGCTGGCATAAACAACACTATTATATCTGGTTGAGCCTCAAATTGGAGGATTTACTCCGAGTTTATGGTCGTTCTATTGGGGAAATCATGTTGTAAACGATGGGATTTGGGGTGATTTGGGGGTTCAACATTGTGAGAGATACCCATATACTGAATATAGTGACATAACAATATCAGATGCCCATGACATGCCCATGATATGCACATGATATGCTGATGAACATAAATATTCGTTATACCCATCAAGTATAGTACCAAGTATAGTCGTTAAATTCTGATACTCAAATCTGGCGTTTGTGAAACCACTTCTTGAAATAGAACATGTTTCGATTCAACAGGACTTTTCCAGCGCCATTACCAGAGGGAGTGTAACAGGAGAAGGTCTATGAGGTGATGCCGAGGATCCAACCTGGTAATGAAAGATCCCCCATTTCAAGCCGTTATTTGTGCATACTACATATTTCACATCCACATATTATTTTCTTGTTAAAGGCTGGCGATTTCCCACTACCATCTTTGATTGCCAGAGGGTAGTTCCTATCACAACTGCAAACACAGTTGCTGCCACCAGCACAGATATGATTTGCAGTAAAAATGTGAACTTTATTTTGAAAGCAGTAACGTCATGTTTGCATCGTACTTCAAGGCGTTATCAGTACACACACACACACACATGGGACAGTACAATAACCCGGGGCCTTTCATTTTAGCTTGGCTTGCCCCTTCGCACTACCAATGCATTAGCGGGCCAGAAAACGATAAGAGTAAAAAAACACAATAACGAACTTATACATGTACATGTTCATGGTTCATGAACCCTGAAGATGGCAACCTGCACAGGCCTCCAAAGCGATAGCAACACGATAACAAAAACGACAACGAAATATGAAAAAAAGGCGAGCGTTTGGGCGGATACCCACTTGACCGGATTGAACATATCACCTTTCGTAGACCTGTATGTTTGATACATAGCGATGGAAAATGAAAGGACATGAATGCGAAATGAAAGGGAGATGGAAGGAAAAGGTGACACTTGTTGACTTTCGACCAAGGATGCTGTCACACCCACAGGAAGCTGGAAAAGTCACATTTCTAGTAGAGAGAGCCCACCACCTGAGAAAACGATAAGAGGAAAAACAACGATAACATGATTTGGGGAGATTAAACAAATTACATTTTTTTTTTAATATTTAAATACAATCCCACACACATAATCACTAGTCACACACATATATATATATACACATATAAATAAATAAATATATATATGTTCTTTGTCGTCATCATGGTCATTATTGTTGTTATTGTCATTACTGTCATTATGATCATCGTTTCAACCATTTCAATCATTGCAACCAACAACCACGAATCATTACCATCATTACCATCATTACCATCATAACCATCGTTACCATTATTCCTATCATTCCCGTCATTCCCATCATTACGACAATTACCACCATCATCACCATCATCGCCATCATCACCATCATCACCATCATCACCGTCACCGTCACCGTCACCACCACCACCACCACCATCATCATCGTCACCATCATCGTCACCATCATCATCATCGTCGTCGTCGTCGTCGTCATCATCATCATCACGATGGTTCCTCTACTTGTCATCATTCGTGTCCATGTCGTTATTTTCGGTCAGTGCTGCAGTTCCACCCAATAAATTTTAAATGGTTTTTGCCAAAGAATTGCAGGAATTCCTCCTCTCAATGAGCACAACAAAGTTCTGAAAGCAAAGGAGAACGGAAAGGTTTCCCAACATTCCAATTCAGCGAATTTCGGCATGTTTCTATCACGAGATCCATTGACTTCACATCCTGCCACGTTTCAAAAATCCGACCTGGGTCAATGGTGCCAACCCCTTGACACCTGGGTATACCAACCGCGCGACAGTCACCACCCAGGAGCGAAAAATGACGCTGCAGATGTTGAACGAGTTGCGATGCAGCAAGTGCTTGAGTGCTCTTCAAAGATTCTCGGCTGAGTTGGGGCCTCCCGCAGCTTGCAGATTCAAACATGAGGCCTCTAGGAAGTTTTTCGGATTTTAAAGGATTTATTGGAATTAATTTGGGCATTTCCTGCAGAATCATTCGTTCTTGGTTGTGTTGTGGGGGAGCATGTGGACATGTTGATACTGCCTTCGCGTAGACAGACAGGACGGACGGACAGACAGACAGACAGACAGACAGACAAAGTAGATTATGTCAGATTAAATTGGACTAGATTCGGTTCGATTTGTTTTGCTAGATAGATGGAAAGACGAGGAACAAATAAAATATGATAAGATGAGATAAAATGAGATATGTTATATAAGATAAGAGGTTAGATGAAACTAGATTGGATAGGATAGGGACAGACGGATGGATGAATGGATGGATGGATGGATGGATGGGTCGGGAGGTAGGTAGGTAGGTAGGTAGGTAGGTAGGTAGCGAGGCAGATAGATAGATAGATAGATAGCTAGCTAGATAGATAGATAGATAGATAGATACAGACAGACAGGCAGACAGACAGACAGACAGCCAGACAGACAGACAGACAGACAGCCAGACAGCCAGACAGACAGACAGACAGACAGATAGAGAGAGAGAGAGATAGATAGATAAATAGATAGGATAGGATAGGATAGGATAGGATATGATAGGAAGATAGGAAAATAGATCGATCGATGGATAGATAGATAGATAGATAGGTAGATAGATAGATAGATAGATAGAGAGATAGAGAGATAAACAGATAGGTAGACAAGATAAGATAAGATAAGATATGGTAAGATAATTTCTATAAGATAATATAAGATACAATAGGATACGATAATATAACATACGATAAGATAAGATAAGATAGATGGATTGATATATATATATATATAGATAGATAGATAGATAGATAGATAGAAAATTACAAGATAAAAGAACAACATACATTCAACACATTTTTGATTCAGATTATTAGGTTTTCACAGGTTCCGACACATATTTTGCAGTTGTCACAGGGCATAGTAGGGAACCTGAATCCCATGGTTTCCCACCAACTTGCCTTGGAAAAGGGCCATAAACTGGGATATCATGTTTGGACAGTGCCAGATATGCTGTTGGTATCTGTTGGTTGTAAAACCCAATATCATCCAACATCCAATTTCCCATTATATGTCTATTTGCGTTATATAATATATATATATATCATCCCATGACATTCTGGTTGGTTAATGTTGTATTCTCCCAATGTCTGATTGTTGGCCCCATGGCCATGCCGCTTCCGCAACCGGCGGCCCAGGAATGGAGCTCCCGGTCTTCGGAACTGCTGCAAAATGGTCTGAGAAGGTGAGGGATCATTGATATCAGTGATCTCAATGGGCTGAAGGGAACATTAAAAACAGTGGTCTGTTTTAATGGTTTTTATACCTCCCAAAAATAAAGGTTCACCAAAATGTCCTGTGCATTTTCGTGTCTGAAAGGACGCCACCATGCTGTTGGAAATTTTGAAGGATGGTTTGGGATTACAGGAACTATCCCGAAATGCCGAAATCTTCAGTTTGGTGGCTCATTGTACTTTAGCAAGATTAGCGTGGTCAACTTGACATTGTATTTTCTTTTAAAGGAATTTAGGATTGGGTTTGATAGGAAAACTGTTCTGTTTCAAGGTGTCTTCCTTAAACATGAAATCAGAGGCTCAGATGTAGACCAATCTGGTCACGATCAGAGGCCCAATCGTCTCCGGGGCCACTACAGAAGTTGGGGCGGCCCATCCACTAATGTGGTAACCCCCAATATCACTATCAAGTACTATCAACAGGAATCAACAGGTGGTTAAAATCATCCCAAAAGTTAGGTTTATGTGTTTGGCTTGCCCACATTATTCATTAAAAAAGACCTACAAAGACATGTCTGTGGGTTGGTGTTTTATTTCTTCCCGATTTTCCAGCCATTTTAGTAGCTGGGATGATGATCCCAAAAATGGTGTCCAGGATGATGGTGTCTTGGTGGCCGTGAATCCGCGGAATGCGACGGTCCTACAGGAGCAGGGCTTGGGACCGGGAAAACTGCGACCTTTCAAGTAACAAACCAGGGAATTTACCCTCTAAATGAACAGTTCGAACCTGAACATCACCATTTTTTTTGTGGAAACTAATCTTCCAACCTCTATCTGGCAGGGTCTATATTAATTATTTCACTGGAGGGTAACACCTTTGAATGGGGATATAGACAGTGTATGGCAGTGTTGTGGGTAAGCTGATGGGTAAATTGTAGGTGAATAAGGATTTGTTTTTTTTGGACATCAATGGCTGAATAGAGTACCGATGGCATTTTTTTTTTTTTGCGGGGTATCTTTTGCCCCCATTTTTAGCAATTACACATGAGGATAGAGGAGGGGCTTTGTGCCAAAACTTTTGCGGTTTCTATTTGTGGTTAGATAGAGAGAGCCTGCGGATTGGGTAGATCTAAATCGGATAGTTTGGTAGTAGATATGATCAACATTTGCGGTCCAAGAAATGCTGATTTACACCCATATCATGGTGATTTTATCAAAACAGATGGAGCAAAGGAGCAACTAATCAAGAATGGGTGGAATGCAAACAACATCAACATGTATCAAAATAAAGGGAATGCCAATCATGGTGACACCACCCTCAACCGTAAAGGATGTCAATCAGCACGTTATGCATCATGGTGATAAGAAAGATCAAACTAGGGCCGGGCTGAAACTTGCCTTTGGGTCAGGAATTAGGGACTGCAACTGTGGCTGGTTACCAAGTACCATTCGTTCACGATGCCCGCCTAAATGCGTGTCCAAAAGCCTTGAAGAACTCCTTTCCCAAAATCCTCAGATGATTTTCCTGGAGATGGCAACTATTAGCATTCCAACCGATCCCAAGTACATGGTTTTAGGTCCAAGCTGGGCGCCAAACAGCTCTAAATTCGATCCTTTAAAAAATCCACCAAGGATGAAGGGATTGTCAGAGCCTTCAAGAGCTGAAGGTCATCACCCTCCGTTGAGGACTGGGAGAGCCACGTGCCCCTGCTGAAATCTGGAGTCCTTGATGCTTTGGGCGACCATCTTTTGAACGACGACGTGGTGCTCCACTTACTGCGGAAGGTGGGCTGCATCATTTCGAAGCAGAATGTTGAGACATAACATCATAAAAACAGCCAAAAGGAGAGCTTTAAGATCTTTAAGGTTCTGAGGTCTGGAACTGGCAATTTTAATGAAGATTCTCAGGGGACCAGGCATTCGTCTTGGATCCTAGGACGATTCCTACGAGCTTTTGGTGCGATTTGTGAAAAAGTCTGCGGGCAAATCCCCTGGCTTTGGTGGCTTTTCAGTACTTTCATTGGGAACCTCGGTCCCAACCAAGTTGGATGGTCTGGGGCACTGGGACAGGTGATTCCACTTGTGTCAGAGATGATGAAATCTTTTGTGCGCAGGGAGTTTAACCCTCCTATGGGAATTCCTGTGCAAGGATGGTTTGCACGGAGAAACATGGTGGATTCAGCTGACAAAGACAGGTACCCCATCCAACTGTGACAAAAATCCAAATCCAAGACCTCAAAGCACTCAGGCTTTGAGTTTTTCAGTATGAAACAAATATGAAACCAACCAATTTCTGTACAATTCCCTCCAGACATAATCAATTCAATTAACTATGTATATATATATATTATAATATGCAATTTCTGCATTTTTGATCTGACCAACACCAGCGATTCCACCCCCTTGGCCCCTTAGCCCAGGCTGTGTCTACCTTGCCGCGCAATGGGACACCGCGCTGCGCGCCACGGAGGGTGAGCTGACGGTGCTCGCTGCGTCGCTGCTGCTGGTGCTGCTGGGAGAGCTGGCGAGGGAAGTCACGGCACGGGCGCAGCGGGTGGAGCTGGGCTCCAGGACCCGGGGGACCGGAGGAGCCATCAAAGATCCCCAGGATATTCGTGGGAACATGAAATCAATAACGAAAAAGGACAACTATGAGGATAGTTGATGAAAATACTATGAGGATAACTATTAGGATGATGAAAAAGGAGTGTAGGATGGTCATGGAATAACTATGAGGTAGTTGTGACTAATGATGTATGATTAACCATTCCGAATAGAAGTTAATGACATTATGGGGTAGTGGGATGATCTTCGAGTAAACCCAGTAATAAGAATTTAAAATATATTCATAGGAATGATCGGATGATTATTGGATAATGATTATTGGATAATGCTTGGCTATTCACGGGATTTACTAATATGATTCTGATGGGATATGGTTATGGGATAAAGTTCTATGAGGATACGATGAATTGGGATATTTTGAGAGAATTGCGATGATTATGGGATACCCTCTGGTAAGCTAACAAACAACTATGGAACATCACCATGTTTCATGGGTAAATCCACTATTTCTATGGCCATTTTCAATAGCTGAGGAGTTCTCCGCGGCTCCGCGGTAGGACCTTCTTGCCCTGTCCACAGCTGGGCCTGCTCGGCGTCTTTGCTACGCCCGTCGGAGCGTCGCCCGGCAAGTCGCAGCAGCTGCAGCTGGCGTTGAGCGCGCCGCTGACGCTGGCCTTGGCGTCCCTGCTGCTGGGGGCGCTGGACGGGGCGGGAAGGTGGCAGGAGAGGCGTCACTTCAAAAGGGGGAATATATGTATATATATAGTTATATGTATTTATGTATATGTATGCGTATATGGAACAATATGTATATATATATAGTTCTATACTATATGCATATATAATGGTATGTACGTAAGGGGGATAGTGATTTAATGGGGCTACAAACGGGATATATCACCAACAAATTGATTTGAATTTGGGTGCGTGTCTGAAAATGCAAAGGGCCCAAAATCTGGGTTGTCTCATGTGGTCTCAAACTTATCAAAGGTTGGAACCCCCTAAAGTCACGTGGAATATCATCGATTCGAATTGCTTCCAAGATGGGTCGATGATTCCAACATAATTTCATATATATATATTAATATAATGATATATAACCATATCCCGATTATATCCCGCTTATATCCCCATTAAGTCACCATCACTCTTATGTAAAATAATATATGTATATATACACACACACACATTTCGGAAGAGGCCAAAATAAATGTGTTGAAACTTGAAACCACGCACCAGCGAAGCACCGTTTTTTTGATGATTTGTGCTCAAGAATGTGTGAAAACCACCAAAACTGGAGGGTTTGGCACAAGAACGTGGGGAAAAATAGGAGGGTAGAGCTCAAGATGTGTGAAGCTCATAAATTTGTATTCTTTGAGCCAACGAAAATGAGGCTGACACCAACAAAAACTGTCAGGCATGAAAACTCGTAATCAGCTGGTTGGATATTGAAGATCAATCCCATGTGGTTTCCTCCGACCTCTGATGAACTACTCGGTAACTGGGATCATCTAGGTTGAGCACCACTTCATTGTGAAACTATGCTTGGATGTGCATCTCAGATTGTAGGTGGTTTATAACCTGCATATCCAACTCAGATCCAATTCAGATCTGGCTCTTCAGATGTTTTTGCAGACGGATCTTTCACGCTCCCACAAAAGTGGCAGTGGGGGTTAGGTGGGGTTGGGGCAGCAACATTCATGTACATGTTCATACATTTCTCACTTCACATAACGGTCACATCCCTTGCCTTACACGCTTGCATGCTACGTTATGGGTAAGGGGTGGGAGGTTGGGATGGGAAGACGGGCATGGCCTTCAGACAGATCATGGCTTGAGACGATGCGCAGCAGCTCGCTGCGTTTTGGGAACCAAAATGCTACAAGGATTCACGAACCCAACAAAAACCATAAAAAATCCATGATGCAATTATAATTTATAACATCAAAATCACCATTTCGCTATGACGAAACTGCCATTTTCTTACAAACTCAATTGTGGGACGGTAAAAGATCCGCCGGGATGTTTTTCACTGAAGCGGTACAGCTGGTCTGGTCGTTCGATCTCTTGCTGGATATAGAGACTTGTTGGCGGAACAAAATGTCAAGTTGTTGCATGTTGCCATTTCACGTACCATTTGTTGTCATATAGAGCCAAAATCTAATCCTGCAAAATCATGTCATTTATACATATATATATAGTTATATAATTATATATTGTTATGTATGATTGCTAATGTCAACCCTGGATTAATAAACCCTTAGGCTGGTTAATTGGGGGGTACCATTTAAGTATTGGATTATGACTATTGGAGGAGTACCCCCCTAATTAATAAACCATGGTTTATTAATCCGGGGTTGACATTATTGTTATTATTGTTGTTGTTATCATTATACATAATATATATATATACGTATATATATATATTATATATATGTACACAGATGTAAATAACACGTTCACGTCTACCAGAGTCTCGATCCCCACGCCATGCAGGACTGGGATCCCAGCTGGACTTTGCAGCTCCATTCCACCATGGGCTTGGGACCTTTGTCGCAGCTACACGGGGACGCTGGGCCAAACGCATGGGTTGTGGGCAGTGCCGTGCAGTGGGGAGGTTGGAAGATGCCAGCAGGGTTAGCCCAAATTGAGTGGAATTTGGTAAATGGTGTCATGATAAGATGTTTCATGCTGCGGGATGATCTCAGGAAATGATTGTACGATCTATGTCTCTCTCTCTCTCTATGTATGTATGTATGTATGTATATATATATATATATTATCTACACATACAATCATATATATATATATATTTATATATATATATTAATATAACACATAGTACCACTGTATATTACAATCACACATTATATATCATATCATATACGCACATATGTGCATTTGCGTGTGTGTGCGTGTGTGTGTGTATATGTACTTTGCAACTTCATATAGCGACCTCCAGCGACCTCAGCATAATGATCGTTATTACTCATATTACGATATTAGTAACAATCATAGCACATAACAATAAACAATGATAGTTGATGACCATCATAATCGTAATGACAATGAACATCATTTTGTAGATATACTGATGGTCTCTGACGGGGAAGCTAGTTTCTTTTTCCTGCAGTGTGCTGTGATGTGGGACAGTGCTGGAGGATCAGACCGGCCTGGGATCTAACCGAGGAATGCAGCGTCACAAGCTTTATTGCTTGCCAGGGCCTGCTGATGGCACCTTGCTCGGGTTCTGGGTTCGGTCATTGAAGTACTGGAATCAGCATATTCTCACATAGTCTCTCATAATCTCACATAATCTTAATCTTGCATGATTTTACATATATTTATATAATTACCAATAAATATGTATATATATATAGATATAATTATGTATATATATATAGTTTTATATATATATATATTAATCAAATATACATAATTACATATTTATATATATACACATATTACACAGTTTTCTCATTACCATCGCCATAGCCGAGGCCAGCTTGGCTCTACTGCCACAGAGCCCTGACGGTCGATCTGCTTGGAGCGTCCTCTTGGGCCGCGAGAGCTTCGGTTGCCGCGGCGGAAACCGTTCGGTGAAGGTTTGGGGAACCCGGTAACCCCCTTGATTCATGGGATGTTATGATGTCATATGATGTTAATATGATGTTAATATGTTACATAATGTTATATAATCATGGGTAGATGATATAATGATATACTGCTGATGATTGGATTGTGAAGGATGTTGGGCTCTAAACCCTTGATTCTTCATAAGACTTATGTAAGTAGTAGAGTGAGCATGTTCCCAATGTTAACCACGGGTAGAGGATCACAAAGTATCTAGGCCACCTCCAGTAGCATCTCGTGAAGGATCTACCTGTCTGATCCAGACTTTTCGCGCCAAAAGTGGGATCCCAACAGTTTTTGAGTAGCCAAGCTGCTAGCCAGAGCTTTCGTGAGGTATGCAGGTACTCGTAGCAGCCAACCCAGCCAATTTCACGACCTCATCCTTGGCCTTGATGATGAGTAGCATCTTTCGGTTATTTGAAAATAGGGTACCACCAAATCCACTGATTAATCATCATATCCATAGGCTACCTCCTCTGTTTGAAATGTGTCAGTTTGCAACCACCCCAACCCTCCCTTAAAAGGGATGGATATCATCATTTTCTCATTAAAGTTGCCTTGTGTGTGTAAGCTGCTGCCGACCCAGGAACGGTGAAAAGCTGGCGGATACCTTCAGTTCCTGGGGAATAGGTCCTGGTTTTTTTCAAGTCGTGCGGTGCACATGGAACATGTGAATGAAACACTCAAGCATCGGGCGTATCACAGTGATATTTACGTTTGGGATATTTGGGATATCAACCACTCACTGGGTGGTTTCATGTTTTATGTTTACCAAAACCAAGGTTCTTTTTCTGCATTTCACGCCTGGAATTTGGTGAGGGGTCTTGGCATTGGGTACCCCCTTATAGCATGGGATAATTTTTTCCTGAGCCATGGAGGCTCCGATGTGACCCTCCCCCTTTGTTCCCATTTCTTGGTCCAAGGCTATGCCTATCCGTTCTTGGGTGTCTTCGCAATGTGGCCACCTGGTAACCAGCACCTCCAAGTGGGTCTCCCAATGGCTGTGGACGTAAACACTGGAGCTTCCCTGTAGGAAGATGTTCACTATGAGTTGTCCTGATGGCTGGTTAATGGTTGCAAATCGCTTCGTGTTTTCCACCCCTGACTTAAGTCGGACGAGTTCTCCGCACTTCTTACTTCTACTGTACATCTGATTTTCAGACAGTACATATCTTAAACTTTGGAGGGAAAGCCAACTCTCCATTCCCAGTTTCCAACTTGGTTCATCCTTCTTATGTCACAAATCTGCAGCGACGAGTTGTGGTAATATCCGACTTTCTAAAGTAGGATGAGCCAAGCAGCGATCAAAATTATTGGACCGCCCCAACCCAACCCAAAAACCCGAAACCAACCCGAAAGCATCACAAGACTCGCTTAACCAGCCCTAGGTAAACCATGGTAAGCCCTAAACTTTGTACCAACCATCACCAACCCTAAGTCTAACGCTGAAAAGTCCCGATGAAACCTTTGGCGAACGTCCGCGCCCGAGGGTATTGTTTTCCTGACATGAGTTAGAAATATCCCTAGTCAGATCACATAGGTCACAAAAATATTTCTTCTGAAGACCCAAATGCTACCTGTCATTCTAATAGAGGACATTTAATCCCCATGAATCCCCATGACATCCTTATTTTAATCCTATGAAATAGCCACTGTGGGTGTCCACTGTTGCCCAAGAGCCAAATCCATACATTCAGGGGGAAACATAGCAAATTGGCTCTTTTCTTCGGTTGGCTAGATCCCCATAAACTTGATGATTTCTATACAATTTCCTAATTGTGTGAATCAGAATGGGAAATCATAGAGACCCATGCAGAGAGTTTTACCCATAATATTAACCCTATTCTATAATTATGGATATATACAACCCCTATTCTATATGGATATACATTGCATTACATTGCTCTAATTTCCGATTCATTTTTGGTTTCTGATGTTCCGTTCAATGGATTATCTGAATGTATTTACCATGGTATTTGCCATCTATGTGGCTTAAACTTGGCTTGAAGTCTTCATTCACCCATACAATTTGGGGCCCCCCAGTAATAAGTTGGTTTATACGCCCCATTAACTATAGTTATAAGTACAATTAACCATAAACCACAGTTATTGGAGTTATAGACCAACTTAGCTATCTAGGGGGCCCCACATTGTATCTATATTGTCATTTATTTCCCATTTCCCTACGGTGTAAATATCCCCGACCCTATTCAATATGGGTATATTTCTCTACAACTTCATTGTGTGAAATCCAAGTCCTGTCGGTCATGGTTGAATATAAATATAATATCCACCAATTGACCAGAATATCACGACCTGATAATATGCCAACATATGCCAGCATTGTATTTATCATCCCTCTTTTCCATTTTATGGGTTATCCCGGATTATTTCCAATTCATGGGGCTCAAATTTCCAAATCACTTCTATATTTCGATATATATAATATATATTTCCCGTTTCCCTATTTCCCAAAATTGGATGAAGGAACAATGTAATTATCCAAAAACCCCACCTGGAATAATTCCGGGAAAAAACCCATGGTTTTCGATTAAACAAATCCCTTGAACCAACCCAATGACTGTGGCCCTGCGGTAATCATGGCTTGGAAATCCCGTCAATGGAGGCAACCATCATGGAACAAAAACCATCATATACTATCATATACTATCATACACTATCATATACTATTATATACTATCATATACTATCATATACTATCATATACTATCATATGATGGGATAAGAACCACGATATAATGATGGGATAATAAATCTAAAATCCCTATGAATCGCTATACAAAACCACTGAGTCATTCTCAATGCGTATTTCATTGTATTTCATTGTATTTCATTATATTTCATTATACTTCATTGTATTTCATTGTATTTCATTATATTTCATTATATTTCATTATATTTCATTATATTTCATATTATAATTCATTATATTTCATTATATTTCATTATATTTCATTATATTTTATTGCATTTCATTATATTTCATTATATTCCATTATATTTCATTATATTTCGTTGTATTTCATTATATTTCATTATATTTCATTATATTTCATTATATTTCATTGTATTTCATTATATTTCATTATATTTCATTATAGTTCATTATATTTCATTGTATTTCATTATATTTCATTATATTTCTATTATATTTCATTATATTTCATTATATTTCATTATATTTCATTATATTTCATTGTATTTCATTTCATTATATTTCATTATATTTCATTATATTTCATTATATTTCATTATGTTTTCATTATATTTTCATTATATTTCATTATATTTCATTATATTTCATTATTATTGTATTTCATTATATTTCATTGTATTTCATTATATTTCATTATATTTCATTATATTTCATTATATTTCATTGTATTTCATTGTATTTCATTATATTTCATTATATTTCATTATATTTCATTGTATTTCATTATATTTCATTATATTTCTATTATTTCATTATATTTCATTATATTTCATTATATTTCATTATATTTCATTGTATTTCATTATATTTCATTATATTTCATTATATTTCATTATATTTCATATTTCATTGTATTTCATTATATTTCATTATATTTCATTATATTTCATTATATTTCATTATATTTCATTGTATTTCATTATATTTCATTATATTTCATTATATTTCATTATATTTCATTGTATTTCATTATATTTCATTATGTTTCATTATATTTCATTGTATTTCATTATATTTCATTATATTTCATTGTATTTCATTATATTTCATTATATTTCATTATATTTCATTATATTTCATTATATTTCATTATATTTCATTATATTTCATTTTATTTCATTGTATTTCATTATATTTCATTATATTCATTATATTTCATTATATTTCATTGTATTTCAAATTTCATTATATTTCAATGTATTTCATTATATTTCATTATATTTCATTGTATTTCATTATATTTCATTATATTTCATTGTATTTCATTATAATTCATTGTATTTCATTATATTTCATTATATTTCATTATATTTCATTATATTTCATTATATTTCATTGTATTTCATTATATTTCATTATATTTCATTATATTTCATTGTATTTCAATGTATTTCATTATATTTCATTATATTTCATTATATTTCATTATATTTCATTGTATTTCATTATATTTCATTATATTTCATTATATTTCATTATATTTCATTGTGTATTTATTTCATTATATTTCATTATATTTCATTATGTATTTATTTCATTATATTTCATTATATTTCATTATATTTCATTATATTTCATTATATTTCATTATATTTCATTATATTTCAATGTATTTCATTGTATTTATATTTCATTATATTTCATTGTATTTCATTATATTTCATTATATTTCATTGTATTTCATTATATTTCATTATATTTCATTATATTTCATTATATTTCATTGTATTTCATTGTATTTCATTATATTTCATTGTATTTCATTGTATTCATGTATTTCATTATATTTCATTATATTTCATTATATTTCATTGTATTTCATTGTATTTCATTATATTTCATTGTATTTCATTATAATTCATTGTCTTTCATTATATTTCATTATATTTCATTATATTTCATTGTATTTCATTATATTTCATTATATTTCATTGTATTTCATTATATTCCATTATGTTTCATTATATTTCATTGTATTTCATTATATTTCATTATATTTCATTGTGTATTTATTTCATTATATTTCATTATATTTCATTATGTATTTATTTCATTATATTTCATTATATTTCATTATATTTCATTATATTTCATTATATTTCATTATATTTCATTATATTTCATTCTATTTCATTATATTTCATTATATTTCATTATATTTCATTATATTTCATTATATTTCATTACATTTCATTATATTTCATTATATTTCATTATATTTCATTATATTTCATTATATTGCATTGTATTTCATTATATTTCATTATATTTCATTATATTTCATTATATTTCATGAAATTTCATTATATTTCATTGTATTTCATTATATTCAATTATATTTCCATGTATTTCCATATATATATATATACATATATATATATACATATATATACATATATATATGTTCTCACATGTCCCAGCATATTTCCATATGTTGTCCCCCCATGGCTCTATGATTTTGCCCCAGGGCGAATGGCGCCGGTGCTGCCGTGCTGTCCTTGCCCTTCACCTGGCAGCTGCTGCTGACGAATCTCACGCCGCCAAACCAGCCGCCTGCGCTGGAGGAGATGGACTGGAGATGGCCAAATCAAGATGTTTGATGAATAGTCATGGTTAGTAATATATACTATATACTATAATCATGGTTAGTAATTAGTAAGGGTAATCATCCCCAAGATAGCCTTAGTTCAGGTTTTTGAATTAATTATTCAATGTGGGGCCCCCCCAGTAATAAGTTGGTTTACAAGTCCCATTGACTATAGTTATAAGTACAATAAACCATAGTTATTGGAGTTATAAACCAACTTAGCTATCTAGGGGGCCCCACATTGTAGAATCATCACATTTACGACTTTCCAATGTTTTATCATTGGAGATGATTAACGATTATGAATTATCTGATTCATATTTAATGGATGTTAATAAATGCTAATATCGGTGATAAACCTATGTATAATGTGATGTGAAGTGAAGTAAACCATTAACAGTCAATAGTTGGTTATTAACAGTGAATAAACATGTTAATGAAACACAGTATATGATAGTATATGATAGTAATGTTGATAGTAATGTTGATAGTAAATGATAGTAATGTTGATGATAGTTAATAAATGTTAACAAATAATAGTGGGTAATTATCTGATGGGTAATTAATTGTGGGTAATTATCTGATGGGTAATTATCAGATTGGTAATTACCTGATTAATAGTTAATAAATGTTAATCAATGTTAATAAACGTTAATAAATGTTAACAAATGTCAATCAATGTTAATAAACGTTGATAAATGTTAACCAATGTCAATCAATGTTAATCCATGTTAATAAATGTTAATAGGGGTGGTAATCTGTGTATATATAATAATAATAATAATAATATTAATACTGAAAGCAGCGTTGTGAGCGCCCACGTTGTACAACAACTTACTGTAAATATGAAAGGGTTCCCTTTTGTACAACAACTTACTGTAAATCACACCATACTCAGCCATACTCTGTCACTAGGACTGCTGTGTGTCTTGAAGGCTACTTCTCAAAGAGATGCTACATACTTTTGAAAGGAAGATTGTGGGTAGCTGCATATATATATATAATTAATAATATCATACAGTGAATTATGTTATTTGAAAATCATATTATATTTTCCAAATGAATAATATTTTTTCGAAGTAATATGGCATAATACCGTTGTTTAAAATCAAGATTTCATGAAACCATCAAGTATTGTCTGATAGCAATGCCGCTTTTCTGAAAAACACTAATGTATATGCATATTTTATCTTAAGGAAATGCTACCCTTCTCTAAAAGGACTACTACCTCTATGGAAGGAATTACTATCATATGTTCATTAAAATATATGGAAGACAGAACGCACTTGTTCTAAAGGAATGCTATGCACATCTCAGGGTCTTGCTTTACACTTTCTCAAAGGAATGTTGTTCCCTCTATAGAAGAATGTTGCATAGAGGCATGCCACAACTTCCTCAAGAAATGCCACATTCTTTCAATTTTTCAACGATGACTTATGAGAAGCATGCTGTGGCCCTTAGAATCTGAGTTGATGCTGTACTAGGGTTTAATAACACAATATTTTTCAAAGGAACAATATGCTTACCCTTGCAAAACATTCCATATCTCTTTCTGTAGGGAGCTCTGTCAGGAAGATGCAATGCTGCTTGGGGACAAAATGAAATCTTCTGTCAATCAAAAGTGCTGTTTCCTCTTGTTCATGCTTGCTATAAAAACCTGCAACATAGAAGCAAACACACCCCTATCATTTGAGCATGGCGCAACAGGGCAAAATTGAATTTTCTTTCTGATATTCACTGGCTAAATGACATAGAACCGTTGATAGACAACCTGCAGCAATGAGAACATGTCTTAAAACTGCTGGAAAAGGCAACAGTACATATTGCTTACAGACTTGGACACACATGTCAGAACATGCTCAAAACATAGCATTTTTTACGAGATTTGTGGGCGCTGAGAGCGCTGGCCTCTCTAATAATAATAATATAATATAAAGTAATTGATAGTTAATGGCCACGATAACCTGATATATATATATAACTAGTTCTATATAATAGTTATCAACAACCATAGTTAGTTCATACAGTAGTGGTTAATAAATCTTGATGAACATAGTTAATATATTGTATGTTAGTTCACCCATAAGTGGTAAATATGTTCATAGCCATGAACGGTCTGATCAATATGATATGTTATTAATAGTAGTGATAATCCTATACAAATAGATTTAGATGGGGTAGCAATGATAGATGGTTCATTGATTGGGAGAGGTACGACCATCAATAATGGAAGAACAACATGATGCAACGATGAACATGGGATAATACTTGGATAATCACCATGATATAGTAATGACCATTACATTGGAATGGAAAAACGGATATTTTAATGAGAATAATGGGAGAAAAATCATGGGATATCATGGAATATAATGGGGATATGATGGGATAAATCTATCAATGATGGGATCATAAATATCTGCTCTAAATGGGTCATGTTCCATATCTACTAGCGTTAAATAACCAGAGGGTAACTCAGTAACTCCCATCATTTTCCTTGCAAGGAGGCCTCGGAACCTCCCATGTGGCTGAAGGGCGCCAGCTTTCTGCTGCTGTTGGGGGCCCTTTGGGTGGCGGCGCCATTGCCTTGAGATGCCTTGAGATGCCTTGAGGCCTCGGCCAGTACTTTCTTCCAATGACTTTCATGGGATCAGTTTACAAACTACAGTAAGTTACCCTCTGGTAAACTAACATAACTATGGAAAATCACAATTTTTAATGGGAAAATCCACTATAAATGGCCATTTTCAATAGCTATGTTAAATTACCAGAGGGTAAGTTTACCGAAAATTCACATTCCAATAGTTGTAATCATACTGTAATCCCTGAAGTTTGGTATGATACGAATGGCTACCAATGAGCAGTGGGATGGGCTACCCCATAAGAAGGTTAGCATGTCACTTGACGTCTTCAAAGAGTATGAATTACCCAGATTAGTTATCTACATGAATAACAATTGGCTAGCAGTCAAATGGTTGCATCCAAAAAAATCTCAGTTACAATGGGACAAGGAACTGCTAAGCAATTGTATACTAAGATTGAGGATCATTTGACCATCCCGTATTTGGGTCCCAAATCCTTCAGATTGGCCCGTCAATTGGAAACTTGTATACCAACTGGCCCTCGACAGCGACTCGACACCCTAAGTTGATCTGTCCAACTGTATGGGGTCAGAAAGGGTAGACATGATTTTCAGGAATTCTTCTTAGATGATTTCAATGAAGACACCCAGGGGCTTCGCATCATCCAATGACCATGTGCAGGTGTTGCTGAGCAAGTTTGCAAAGATGCGGTTGGGTGCAGTTGATGCGAATCTGATTTCAAGATATTTCGAGTGAGCAATTGCTGCTAAAATCATGTTGATTGATGATTACACGGGCTTATAATGGCTTATATTATCGAACAATATATATATATTATATTGGGGATTATATGGAGTTTGCCAGATATCTCAAGTGAATCAAAAAAATGAGTCAAAGATATGAGAATCCATACGGCCCATGGTGATTTCATCCATGTTTCTGACGTGGCGATACCTCTACTCAGGAGGGATGGAATCCACCCCTCTGCCACAAAATGCGCAGGATGGTGACAGAATTTCCTTATTCAGGCATTCAGCGAACCGTAGGGGCCGTAAGGCAAATTTCAGAATTGAAATTCCTCCGAAATCGTGATGCCTCTTCTCTTGTGCTGAAGAGTTTTTTCTGTTCACACACTTTTCATGCTTTTCATGCTTTGTGTATCTTTCTGGATTTTTTTTTGTCACTTTTGGGGAATGAAATAGCTGCACAGGATCCAGAAAAAGAGAGGATTCGAACTAGCTACACCCAAGTGATTGCGAATTTCAGCAGGTGCAGGGTGTCCAGTCGAGACGGCCTTGGAAACAGCGCCGAAGTTGGAATGACGATTGACCGAACTTAAGCCCGCACTGGTTGATGATCATGCCCGGCTACCCATGAATTATTCAAAGATAAGGCTTCAGAACTTCACCTGGGTCTGAAAATTTTCTACTCCAAACCATGAGCAGACATGTGGGTATGGATCAATACTAATACCATTTTTAGTGGGATGAACATCCATTTACCAGCTATTGTGATGTTCACCAGGGGTACAAGGTTTTGACACACTGCCATGTGTAGGTGTATTGGATGCAACTCTTTGTCGAGGCGAAGTCATAGAGTTTACAGCTGCATTTCCAGCTGTCAACCATGATCCTGGTAGAATTATAGATACCAACAGTGACATGGATAAGCAATAAAGGATACCCTCTGGTAATTTAACGTAGCTATTGAAAATGACCATTAATAGTGGATTTTCCCATTAAAAATGGTGATTTTCAAATATTTTCAATAGCTATGTTAAATTACCAGAGGGTACTAGATTCTATACCAAAGGCACAGTCAACACTATTGATAGGCTGGCTGTAAGAGGGGAAAACTAATTTGTGTTTGCCATGTAACCATCCAAAGTGGCCCACACAGTCTTCTGAAATGCATCCGGTAGTCGCAAAATGTCGTATTTTTGGAACTGTCCTTCTCACTGACCAACAAGCTCCCAGAACAACAAAGCTGGGAATTTAGAGGGTCCACCCTTGAATGAGATGGAAACGCGCGTCTGATGGCCAAAAGAACTTTGCCCCATGACTGTTCGGCCGCCACAACGGGCAGCCGCGCTGTGGGAAATTTGAGGCTTCGCCGTGTCAGGGTGCCGCGATAGTGCCAAATGATAGTCATTGAGTACGGGTCAAATTGATTCAAATTGATCAATACCCCAAAATTGGATGGTTTGATACAAAAATTCAGCGATTTTCTGGGTCTGTGGATACCCGAATTTCGAACATCTGGAATTGAACTTTTAGCAAGGAAACACCGAAGCATTCAGGCATTCAGCCACTTCCCAGAGCCAGTCGCATCTTCCTGAGAGTGCGAGTCAAGATTTCATAGCCTTCAAAGGGCCGGTGCTCCAAAACAGGTGAAGTTGAAGTTTAAACTTAGCATTCTTGAGCTATCCTGA